CGAGCCCCACGTTGGGTGTAGAGATTACTTTAAAAACTTAAAAAAATACTCATTGGATTTTTTTTAATTATTTTTTTTCTTTTTTAAGAGAGCACGAGCTGGTGGGAAGGGGCAAGAGGGAGACAGAAAGAATCCAAGCAGGCTCCATGATGGGTGTGGAGCCTGACATGGGTTCAATCCCTCGACCCTAAGATCATGACCTGCGCGAAACCAGGAGTGGGATGTTCAACTGACTGAGCCACCCAGGTGCCCCTTAAAAATAAAATCTTTAAAAAAAAAAGCACACACAGATTTTTAAAAATTACCATGTAATCATAGCTCAATAAAAGGAAATTACATTTTCTAAAAGATTTTATTTATTTGAGAGAGAGAGAGAGAACACACAGAAGGAGAGGGAGAAACAGACTCCCCGCTAAACAGGGAGTCCCAAAGCAGGGGTCGATCCCAGGACCCTGAGATCATGACCTGACCCGAAGGCAGATGTTTAACTGACTGAGCCATCCAGGTGCCCCAATAAAATGAAATCAGAACCAGATTTCCAAGTGACTTTTTTTTAAGATTTTTAAAATTTATTCATGAGAGACACAGAGACACAGCAGAGGGAGAAGCAGTCTCCCTGCAATGAGCCCGATGTGGGACTCGACCCAGATCCCAGGATCATCCCCTCAGCCGAAGGCAGATGCTCAACCGCTGAGCCACCCAGGTGTCCCTCCAAGTGACTTTAACTTAAATGTTCAAATCAACTTACAGAAAATTATTTCTTTGAGGGGCACCTGGCTGCGTCAGTCTGAAGAGCATGTGACTCTTAATCTTGGGGTCATGAGTTGAAGCCCCATGTGGGATGCAGGGATGACTAAAAAAATAAACTTAAAAAAAATGCATTTGATAAAGATCTCCAGGATCTGAACTAAGCTAAGCCATAAATACAGCTAACTGCAGATGAGAAAGACAAGGGCTGCCCTCATCAACTTTATCTTCAGATAAAGAGATGGAAAAAGAAAGGCCATGTTTTGTGAGAATTAGAGAGAGAGAGAGAGAGAGAGAGAGAGAGAGAGAGAGAGAGAGAGAAATTTACTCTGTACTTATGTGGGCCAGATCTGTGCCAGGGGCTTGACACAAATTGATCGAACTGATCTCCTATGGCAGATAAACAAACAGAAGCTCATGGAATGAGTAAGGGCAGGAGCCCTTTAGGACCTGTCTCTTTCTAATATATTCCTGGTCTATCGCTATAGGTTTCTGACTTCAAAAAATGATTAACTCAGGGTGAGCCTGGGTGGCTCAGCAGTTGAGCACCTGCCTTCAGTCCCAGGGAGTGATCATGGAGTCCCACATTGGGCTCCCTGCATGGAGCCTGCTTCTCTCTCTATGTCTCTGCCTCTCTCTGTGTGTGTCTCTCATGAATAAATGGATAAAATCTTTAAAAAAAAAAATTAACTCAGTTTGCAATATATACATGTCCAGTCTGTTATATACCTGAAATTGATCATGTTATCATGTTACATGTCAATTACATGTTTCCCCTCCCTCAAAAAAAAAAAGATTACCAACATATACTTTGGGTTTCTGGAGGTGCTCTGGTTACTACCCTAGAGGTGTCCCAACCCACTTCTAGCCTGGCAGTTTTGAACTGCATTGGTATACAAAGAATCTTACCCTTTGAGAGAGGGAAAGGTTTTTTTTCCAAGGATTTTTTTTTTTAAATACCAATTCACAATAGGAAAGAACATTTTATATTGTGAGCCAATACACAGTAGAGAGTATTTAACTGAAACAATAATTCAGGAAACAGTATTTAGACTTGTTGCATGTGATGCTCTCACTTTCTTCTCTATTCCACTTTTATTTATTTTTAAAGTTTTTTTTTTAATATTATATGTATTCATTCATGAGAGAGAGAGGGAGAGAGTCAGAGACACAGGCAGAGGGAGAGGGAGAAGCAGGCTCCATGCAGGGAGCCTGATGATGTGGGACTCGATCAGAGGACTCCAGATTCACGACCTGGGCTGAAGGCGGCGCTAAACCATTGAGCCACCCAGGCGTCCCCGAGGTCCGTGTTTAAAATTATGTTTGTCTTGGGGTGCCCTGCTGGCTCAGTCAGAAGAGCGCACAACTCTTGATATCGGGGTCACGGCCTCGAGCCCCACCTTATATGTACAAATTACTAAAAAACAAACAAATAAATAAATAAATAAATAAATAAACTAAAAATATATAGTCTGATTTCGTGGTCCAGTAGCGAGTTAAGACCTACAGATAGAAAAACATCATCTGGGGATCCTTGGGTGGCACAGCGGTTTAGCGCCTGCCTTCAACCCAGGGCGTGATTCTGGAGTCCCGGGATCGAGTCCCGCGTCGGGTTTTCTGCATGGAGTCCGCTTCTTCCTCTGCCTGTGTCTCTGTCTCTCTCTGTGTGTCTCTCATGAATAAATAAATAAAATCTTAAAAAAAAAAAGAAAAACATCATCCTTGAGGATTTTGGTTGACCTGGAGACCTTTTTTTCTTATTTTACAAATGCAGAAATCTAGGCCCTAAAATGTGACTTCTTTACATTCACTCCGCTAATGAGTGTTGGATAGAGAACCTCAACCTGAAATTTGGTCTTTATGTCCAGTATTCTACTGAACGCAGAATTTTACCAGAAGATTCAGAAATAAGAAACAAGAAAACCCAAATAGGAGCCTACCAGAGGAGAGACACTGGAGTGAAAAGACAAAGGATGCGCATTTAGTAGAATTCTCACCGGAGCTAAGACTGTCATTTCTGGGGCACCTGCTCTGGTGCCAGGTGGGGAGCAGGAACGGGGAAGTCAGAGGTGAAGACACTGGCTTGGCCTCCAGTGGGCTCCAGGTTTAGTAGAGGAGGTTCCATGTAAACAGATAAATTACAGCACAGAGTAATCAGAGGCAAGCTGGTGATGTAGGAAGCACAGCTGGAGGCCAGAGAGAAGAAATCTGTAGTGGAGGGAGGGGCTGGGGAGAGGGCACCTGCGATAGACGCTTGGTGAGAGGTGCCGGGGCGGGTGTCAATGAATGTCTTGAGGGTAGAAGATACTAGACAAGCAGAAGGCAGCAGGAGTGGCATGGGCAAACTGCAGGCCACTGCAGGGGCTGGCATGCGGGGCACTGGGCACAGGAGGGCAGGGGGTAGAGGGACCCCGTCTGCAATTGAGTGGGGTCACTCCTCTCGCGAGACTTTAGTTTCCTCACTGGAACAGTGAAGGGTGAACAGAGAAGCAATATTCACATTTGCTTTTGTGCTAAAGCCCTTTGTTCAAATGAAGCCACGAGGGAGACCCAAGGCCTACACAAGGAAATAGAGGTTTTTGTTTTTGTTTTTTTTTTTTCTTACCAGGAAACAGATCTGCCATTGTTTGGAAAAACATTTTGAAACATTCAGGATGGGCGGGAAGAGGCAGATTCCTCCCTACCTCCGCTCTTACCACCCACCCCCACCGCGCCCCATTCTCCACTTCTATCTATCTATCTATCTATCTATCTATCTATCTATCTATCTATCTTTCTTCTTCATCATCATCTATTTTAAATTTTTTTTTTATTTATGATAGGCACACAGTAAGAGAGAGAGAGGCAGAGACACAGGCAGAGGAAGAAGCAGGCTCCATGCACCGGGAGCCCGACGTGGGATTCGATCCCGAGTCTCCAGGATCGCGCCCTGGGCCAAAGGCAGGCGCTAAACCGCTGCGCCACCCAGGGACCCCCATCTATCTATTTTAAAAAATATTTACTTGAGATCATCATCATCATCTATCTATTTTAAAAAATATTTACTCGAGAGCAGCCCGGGTGGCTCAGAAGGTTGAGCACCTCCCTTCGGCCCAGGGCGTGATCCTGGGGTCCGGGGATCGAGTCCCACGTGGGCTTCCTGCGGGAACCTGCTTCTCCCTCTGCCTGTGTTTCTGCTCTCTGTGTCTCTCATGAATTGATAAATAAAATCTTTTTAAAAATAAAAATAAATAAATATTTATTTGAGAGAGAGAGCGCGAGGGAAAGAGGCGAGGAGAGGGACCAGCAGACTCCGCCCAGCTCAGAGCGGGAGGTGGGGCTCGAATCTCCCACCCCAGATCTTGACCTGAGGGAAACCAAGACTCCCAGGCTGACTTCACTGAGTCACCCAGGCGTCTCTGCATTCTCCTGTTTTATTTTTAAAAAAAGATTATTTATTTATTTATTCATGAGAGACACACACAGAGAGAGAGGCAGAGACACAGGCAGAGGGAGAAGCAGGATCCATGCAGGGAACCTGTCGTGGGACTGGATCTCGGGACTACAGGATCACACCCTGGGCTGAAGGTGGTGCTAAACTACTGAGTCACCCCGGCTGCCCTCATTCTCCAGTTTTAAAAAGCACCCCCCCCCCAAAAAAAAAGCAAAATCCCTCAGGCGCCTGGGTGGTTCAGTGGTTGAGTGTCTGTCTGCCTTTGGCTCAGGGAGTGATCCTGGGGTCCTGGGATGGAGTCCCCCACAGACTCCCACAGGGAATCTACTTCTCCCTCTGCCCACATCTCTGCCTCTCTCTCTGTGTCTCTCATGAATAGATAAATAAAAATCTTAAAAAAAGAAAAAAAAAGGTAAGATCCCTCAACGGCTCCCCTCACCATCAGGAGGAATCCAAACTCCTGACCAGGCCTCTCAGGCCCTGCAGCATCTGCCCCCTGTCTGCTGTCCACACCTCCCTCTCCACCCTCATGACTTCCACACTTAACACCAGCCCCTGCTCCACTGCACACAGTTCCACACACTCACTGCTTGCACGCCCACTCAGGGCTTTGGCACTCAGGCCTTCACCAGGCCCAGTCTACCCCCAAACATCTGTTCTTTCCATCGCTTCAGTCAGGTCTTAGTCTTCATCAATGTTACCTGAGGAGGGAGGCCCCCCAGGCAGCAGAGCAGCCTTTCCAGCCCAGCTCCCAGCTCCCTCTGCTTTGTGTACTTCCTCAGGCCTGTCATGTGCTAACAGTTGTTCCATTGTCTGACAGCACCCCCACCCCCCATCCCAGCCCTTGGAGCAAAAGCTCCTGAGGGGAGTATGTGACTCAACTCTTCTTTGGTGGCTGTCTCTCCAACATCTCGAACATTGCCTCCAACATACAGATGCTCCACAAACGTGTAAGTTGCTTTGCCAGGGGGGCAGAGAAGATGGAGAGAATGTAAGCTGCCCTGCAACAGTAGAAAGCTTGGGAGGCTTTGGACTTTCACTACCTGTAGGATGGGAACAGTGACCCTATTGCCTGTAGGTTGAGGGTAGGGGTGACCCACTGCCTGTAGAAGGGGGACAGGGACAACCCCCACTGCCTGTAGGACTAAGGCAGGTAGGCCCCCAGCAGACACATGGGTAAAATGTGAAAAATTCAAACAGGAGTTAATGAAGTGGAAGTAGAGGTGAGGTCTGGAGTCCCAATGCCTCCACCATCTTCCTCTTGACTCTTTCTGCACCAAATCAAAGCAAACCCTGGATGTCCCCACATGAGCTGCACAATGGCCTATGTGGTTGGGACCGACAGAGGATGAGCCCTGACCCTCTCCCACTGGAAGGAAGGCCTCTCTTGCCCTCTGGAGAGGAGCTGGAGGGCCTGCTGTGGGAACACAGGGAACAGTCTGTAGGGATGGGAAAACTCTGGCTCTCTGCTTAGGTGGGGTCAGTGTGATGGGGGAACAGAGGACTAGCTGAGGACAAAGCACAAGCCAGGGGCAGCACATTGACAAATCCTTGAAACAGGCAGTGGAGCATTCTTCTACCACTCAGCTGCCTCCAAGTTAATACTTTGCTAAGGGCAAAAGGCAATCTTTGCCCACCCCCCAGGATCCTGTAAGTCTACTTTAACATATAAAAATTCCTTTAGAGATTTCCTTTATCTGGGCGCCTTCGGCCCGGGGCGTGATCCTGGAGACCCAAGATCGAGTCCCACGTACGGCTCCCTGCATGGAGCCTACTTCTCCCTCTGCCTGTGTCTCTGCCTCTCTTCTCTCTGTGTCTCTCATGAATGAATAAATAAAATCTTAAAAAAAAAAAAAAGAAATTTCCTTTATCTCTAAACCCCCAAGATTTTTGTTAGCAATCATCCCCCAATGTGGCCCACCATTTACATCTGAAGGGTTTCATGACTCAGGTTTTATTAGTTGGTAATAAATGACCTTTCCCCAACAATAGCTAGCCCCCTCAGGGTCCTGGAAATGTTGCTTCCAAAGTTCCTTAGAGAGGATGCTATCCCCAAACCCCTCCCAACTCCCAGGTATATAATCAGCCACTCTTCACAGGCCCTGGGCAACAAACAGCTTTTCCTACCCAGCTCTTCTTACCCACGGATCCTGTCCCTTTGTTTTAATTAAATCACCATTTTTCACCAAAGATGTCTCAAGAATTCTTTCTTGGTCATCGGCTCAGGACCTCACCTATATTCCAGAACTTCATTAAGTGTATCAGATAAACCCATGACAAGTGTGGGGGCCTCTGTTATGAGGATCCCAGATGCATCATGCATGGAAATGCGAGGGCATTCTCCCTAAGCATTCACCTCAGACCTCTCTGAGGCCATCTTTAATATTGGTGTTTGGTTGCATCCTGTAGGATATATTCCTAATAAGGAAGAGGAGAGAGACAACAGTAAGAGAAGAGACAGAGGAAAGAGAGTTTGGGGGAGGAAGAGAGGCAAAGAGAAGAGGTAGAAGGAAAAACCACAGAGAGAGAATATAAAGAAAAATCCTCAGAGCAGGAGACATGGGGGAAAATTTAAGACACAGAATCAGGAAACAAAGGAAAACCAGAGAGGACAAGAGACAAAACAGAACATCTAGAATGAAGGAAAAGTATGTCAGCAGGACAGGCTTCTTTTGAACTTGGAGAAGTGAGGTCAGACACAGTGTCCCTGGCTGCCCTCCTGGTTCAGCAATCTCCAGAAGAGCCCTGTCCTATTTCCGGCTTCTTAGGGTGGGGTTCCCTTGCTTTCTTGGGAGGAGCTCTCAGTCCTAGATGGTGAGCCTGTGATGGGTGGGTGCTTTGTGTGTCCAACTACTAGTCATTAATAACCGAGGTTAATGACTCCAGCCCCTCCTGGGGCTCCATCCTTCTGTCTGCTTGGGAGGACCTGCTGACCCAGAGGGTCAAAGAGCCAATCTTAGAGGGGTCAGGAAGCAAGACTCAGGAGTCCATTCTAGGGATGTAGGTGGAAAGGAAGGGCCTCCAAAGAGAAGAAATCTATGACATCAATCCGGGAGGCATTTCAGACCTACAGGAAAGAGCAATTGTCCTGTGTGGGCTGTAACCCCCAGAAGATTCAGCTGTGGCTCCCAGGAGTCCTGGGGTCCTGAGCAGAACTGCCCCCAAGGAGGACCTGGCTACTTTTACTTCCTTAGCTTCCCACGTGCCCTCTGGACTGACTGTTCCCAAGAGGGGGATCTACAGGTGTTCAGTGTCCACCGGCAACACCATGTTACCTTTTTTTTTTTTTTTTCAGATTTTATTTATTCATGAGAGACCCACAGAGAGAGGCAGAGACATAGGCAGAGGGAGAAGCAGGTTCCTCGCGGGGAGCCTGATGCAGGACTCGATCCCAGGACCCCGGGATCAAGCCCTGAGCCAAAGGCAGACACTCAACCACTGAGCCACCCAGGTGTCCCCCCCTGTTACCTTACCCTTCTCAGAAAAGGTTTGTGAACAGTCTGGCAGGTTGAGGATGGATAGACGGGGGAAGAAAAAAAAAGCAAATACAGCAAAATATTAACCATGGTAGAATTGACATGGTGGGTATATGGGTACTTGTACAATTCTTTCAATTTTTCTATCAATGTGGATTTTTTTTTTTTCATATAAAGTAAAAAGGAGAGGGAAAAAATTGTCTGGAATATAGTAGGCACTCCTAAGTATGGGGCATTGGGAGTATAATCCCTCTCCAAGAGAATCTATATTTCAAATGCCCTGAAAGGACAATGTTTATCTTGAAAGATGACATAGTACAGGTGAGAGCACCTGCAGAACAACCAAATAGGGGAGGGAATCTTAGACCACACCCAGAAGTGATTAGTAACTTAGCCCACCCAAAGCTGATGGTCCTTTCGGTTGGTGACCTTTTCTCAAGTTTATCCTGCCTGTCCGTCCTGAGATCTGGCCTTGGCCCCGAGTACCCCACCCTGTGATCTGTCACCCTTGGGGGGAGAGGCCGGATAAGATATTCCGGACCCTGCTTGACAACTGATCCTAAGAGGTTGATCATATTTGCTCAGGAGGTGAGGTTCACACGATAAAGAGCAGGAGGAGGGCTCAGACCTGGTATAAAAGATCTGAAAGTTTCAGGGGGGTTACTTTGCACCTGAAACTGCCAGGTGAGGGGTGACAGAGGCCTGAACTAAGAGGTGACAGGGATGGCCGGGTTCAAATTAAGGTGAATTCAGGCTGAGCCAGACAGGCGCCTACTTGGATTGGGTGGCAAGAGAAACCTGCGGGTCAGCTAACTGGGGCATCTGTATCTGAGTGAGGTGCAAAGATATCTGGGTCTCAGCGGAAGAACTGGGGATGTCTGGGATGCTCGGGGGAATTAATGTGGCCAGATTTGTGTTAGTGGAGAAAGAATTATGACAAATAGAGCAGGCATCTGGAATCTAATATCTGGAGCTAGTCCAAACACCTTCTGCAATCTCTATCCACCTCTGCCTGAACTGCTCTGATGCTGGTGGTGGCAGTCTCCTCTATCACCACCTCTACTCCCCGGGTGTCACAGAGATGCACCTCTAAAATGCTCCTTTCCTTCTGATCTGAGATCAGCAGGAAGCTAGAAGTTTGAACTCTGCCCAGATGTCCCCCCACGCCAGGCCCATCCCTTACAGGCAGATTTCAGTTAGGCTTTGCTCAGACTCCTGGTTTGGTAAACTCAGCCATCTCTATGATTTGGAGATGGTCTCTACTTCTTTGAAAATGCTTTTCCTGCTTTGTGGCAGGAGGGATCAGGACTTAACACAGCTTGGTCCAGATAGAGGGTTAGGATTGATCTTCTGATCTGGGATGGAAGAAGGGAGTTGGCTCCCTCTGGACCAGGGACGACAGAGGGGTTAAGGACAGAAGACAGTCGGCCAAGAGCAGGACTATAGATTAGGGACAATCCTTTCTAAACCCAAGACTGGGTCAGTGAGGTCTGAGTTGAAGACAAAGAAGACTGACACTCAGCTGGAGGTCAGTGAAGCCTGAGTAAATGAAAGCCAAAGAAAAAAGGCTAAACCTTGACTTTCTCCTTATTTCCACTCCAGCCCCAGAATGTTGACCATTGCTCTTCTGGCCCTACTCTGTGCATCAGCCTCAGCCAATGCCAGTAAGTGAGAAGCCAGGAGCCCAGCATAGTGTCATGGGAAGGCAGCCTCCTGCATTGCTGGTGGCGAAGGCTTTCAGAGGCTGGCTCGGAGTGGTGGGCACTGAGCTGTGGGAGGTGGTGGTGGGGAAACTGAGCTTTTGAGATTTCTCCCTTCAACTCCTACTGTCCCCTCCAGTTCAGGCTAGGTCCTCCTCATACAATGGAGAGTATGGAGGTGGTGGAGGGGAGCGATTCTCCCATTCTGGCAACCAGCTGGAAGGCCCTATCACTGCCCTCCGTGTCCGGGTCAACAGATACTACATCGTAGGGTAAGATTCTTTGTGTTTCTGTGGTTTGGGGATCTGCTCTGATCTTGCTAAACTGGAAAGTTCTCAGTCACTTTGGGTCATGGCTGTTCCAGTCAACAAATTCCCAGGGATAACATGATACGTGAAAGTTGTTAGAGGACAGGGATCTGAGGCCAGCTCTGCTAATAACCCTACAGCCCCCCCAGCACACATGACCTCAGGCAAATCATAGGCCATAGCTGCTCAGGCACTTGGAAGCTGGCTAGTCGGGCCCCACCTGAGGTGTAAGCCCCCCCTGGCATCTTCCATCTTTGCTGACTCTCTCCAGACAATGTATAGCCTTCTAATCCTGGACTACATCCTGGAACAACAAAGTATCTTCCCTAACGAGAACTTTCCAGAAAGATCCCTCCGCTCCCTTTGTATTGGGGGTGGGGTGGGGTGGGCAGCACAGTGGGAATCTAGATTCCAAAATCAAGTTCCAACGCTGTCTGCTTGACTCTGGCTAGGTAATTTTTCCTTTCTGAGCCTCTGCATTTGTGGGCAAAGTGAGTTGAAGTTCCCTATATGATCTCAAGGACTCACTCACCCCTCACATACTGTGGAGTTGGCAGGAGACCTGTTGCCCCATCACCAGTCTGCAAGTCTCAGCAGGGAGGCGGGGAGGTCCTGAATTATGATCAGCCCAATGTCAGTCTTCCTTCCTTCCTCACACTGCCCCTAGCCTCCAGGTGCGCTATGGCAAGGTATGGAGCGACTATGTGGGTGGCACCCAGGGAGATCTGGAGGAGATCTTCCTGCACCCCGGGGAGTCAGTGATCCAGGTGTCTGGCAAGTACAAGTACTACCTGAGGAAGCTGGTCTTTGTGACGGACAAGGGCCGCTACCTGCCTTTTGGGAAAGACACAGGCACGAGCTTCAACGCTGTCCCCTTGTACCCCAACACTGTGCTCCGATTCATCAGCGGCCGTGCTGGCTCCCTCATCAATGCCATTGGCCTGCACTGGGACGTCTACCCCAGTGACTGCAGCAGTTGCTGAGATCCAGCCTTCTCCAGGCCCTGCACTGCGGCGACGGGTATGGGAACCTCTTCACCACTAACTCCATCTGCAAGGCTCAATAAAAACAAAAGAACCTAGCTAAGGCTCATGTGTGTGTGGGTGTGTGCAGCTGGAATCTGCCTCCTGACTCTGGCTGTGGACGGGTGAGCGAATCTCCTATCTGGCTGTCGGATGTCATTCTAGGGAAGAGTGGGAGGGAGAGGAGAGAGATCTCAGAGTCCTGGGCTTTTCTTTGTAATTTATCAAGAGGAGATAAGATTAGGGCTTGTACCAACTCTTTTTTTCAAGGATAGCTCCTGAGACTGTTTACCCAAACTGGAGTCCTAAGGCTAAGGGCTGGCCTGGCTGGGGCTTGTCGCCAAAACCCCAGATGTTCCACTCCTTAGACCGCCTCTACCCTTGATAGTCCCTCTTCCCCAAAAGGCCCTCTTGACCTTAATTCACTTGCTATCTGTGACTGGCCTGGGCTATTTTCCTTTGTTCTTTCCCAGAATCCAGCTGACTTCTGAAACTTGGCCTGTGTCAAGGGCCTTGCCTGTTACTCCAGCCTCGTTCCTCCCCAGCTTTGCCCAGAAGCACTAATGTCCTTGCTTAGTTTAGCTCGTTCAGAACTGGGCTTCCTTCCCTAGGAAGCCACCACCTCCTCAACAGCTTCTACTCTGCCAATACCATCCTCAAAAACAGGCATTACAAGAGGGTAGATTTCCATCGTGGGTTTCTATGAACGTTCAGGGGAGGCAACAGAGTGGTTTCACAGATATAGCAAGGCTATAAAGTTGCTTTAGAAAGAATTCTTAGGACTCTAGATCCCACTTCTAAGACTGTGACAGTTTTTTTTTTTCTTTGTCTTTTGGTGGTGGTGGCTGGGGGTGGGGGAAATCACTCACTGCTACCAGTAGATGGATTCACATTGTGGGCAGTGCCAGAGTCACATTTCTTCCCCATCAGACAAAGACAACAATTATGTACACGTAATTTTAGAAAGAAGTATTAACATTATAGAAGCAACTCACGCCTAGCTTGCATTTATTTATTTATTTATTTATTTATTTATTTATTTATTTATTTATGATAGTCACAGAGAGAGAGAGAGGCAGAGGGAGAAGAGGCTCCATGCACCGGGAGCCCAACGTGGGACTTGATCCCGGGTCTTCAGGATCGCGCCCTGGGCCAAAGGCAGGCGCTAAACTGCTGCGCCAACCAGGGATCCCCCATGCCTAGCTTTTTATAACAATTCCTTTATTTTTCTGAAACAATTCCATGTAATGGAATATTACATCACTGTGATTATTTTTTTTAGATATAAAGCACATAAATATCAGCCTTTTAAAGTGGTTATTAGTGCATTCATAGATTCATAGATTGTGCAATCATCACCTCTCTAATTCCAGGACACTGCCATCAGCTCAGAAAGAAGCCTCATCCCCATTAAACAGTCACTTCCCATTCCTCTCCCAGCCCCATATAACCGCCCCTCTTGTTTTGTCTCTATGGCTTTGTCTATTCCCAACACTACATGTAGATGGAATCATACAATATTGTGGCCTTTTGTGTCTGGCTTTTACCATTTAGCGTATTTTCCAGGTTTATCCATGTTGTAGCATGTGTTAGTACTTTGTTCCTCTGTATGGCTGAATCTGACAGATCAGATATCTGGTCCACTTCAGGCAGGCTTGAAGCCAGCAGGTTTGACATTGTGCCAGGGGGTAGGCACTGGCATTAAACAGGCAGAAGCAGCACAAGAGGATGAAGTAATGGGATTCCTGACTTTTGTCCAGTCTACATATTAGGCTTTTGTACAAGATTTTATTTAAAGAAAATTTTTCTTTACTTATAAAGTTCTAAGATTAAGATGAGCTAATCATACATTTATCAAATATTCTGCTAGGTATTTAGGAATACAAAGACCACTGAAAGTTTGGTTCTTCTAGTCAAAGGGAAGACTTGGTGAAGGCAGGTGTGTGTAAACACGTGCACACACGTGTATAGGGGCACAGTACTAGACTCAGGCCCCAGGTGATGCAGAAATATCAACACATGAGGCACCTTTGGCTCAGGGCAGGATCCCAAGGTCCTGGGATCAAGTCCTGCATCTGGCTCCCCACAGGGAGCCTCTTTCTCCCTCTGCCTATGTCTCGGCCTCTCTCTATTTCTCATGAACAAATAAAATCTAAGAAAGAAAGAAAGAAAGAAAGAAAGAAAGAAAGAAAGAAAGAAAGAAAGAAAGAAAGAAAGAAAGAAAGATGAACACTTGAAGATAACAAGTGGTTTAGCACAGCTGAAATGCAAAGTACAACTGGGCAAAGAGGAAGCCTCATGGACAGGCAGGGACCACGAACATCATGCTAACTTTATTTTATGGGCTCCTTGAAGTCATTTAACCAAAAATTCGCCCAACGGATTGATAAGATTCATAAGAAAATCATTTTTTGGGGATCCCTGGGTGGCTCAGAGGTTTAGCACCTGCCTTTGGCCCAGGGCATGATCCTGGAGTCCTGGGATCGAGTCCCGTGTGGGGCTCCCTTAATGGAGCCTGCTTATCCCTCTGCCTATGTCTCTGCCTCTCTCGCTTTGTGTCTTTCATGAATAAATAAATAATTTTTTTTAAAAAAATAATTTTTTCCTGGGATGAGTGGGGGAAATGGATTAAAGGTGAAGCAGGGGGTAGCCCCGATGGCCCAGCGGTTTGGCGCCACCTTCAGCCTAGTATATGATCCTGGAGACCTGGAATAGAGTCCCACATAGGGCTCCCTGCATGGAGCCTGCTTCTTCCTCTGCCTGTGTGTGTCTCTGGGTCTCTTTCTCTCTGTGTCTGTCATGAATAAATAAACAAAATCTTAAAAAAAAAAATAAAGGTGAAGCGGGGAAATAGTTAAGAGAATAGATCTAGATCAGAAATGATGGAAGTCTGAACAAAGCCAGGAATGTGAGGAAGAGAAGATTGGAAGGAATCTGGGAGATTCAAGGGGGAGGGTGGACTCAGAAGAATTTGATAAATGAATGCAAGAAAGTGCGTGAAGGAGGAGAATCTAGAAGACCATGTCTAGTATCAGCAACTGGGAAGAAAGAAACCCTCTCTAAGATGAGGACTACAAGGAAAAATTAGCCTTTAAAAAAATTAATTTGGGGGGAACAGAGAAAGAGGGAGAGAGAAAAAATATTAAGCAGGCTCCATACCTAGTGTGGGGCCCCACAGGCATGCTCCCCCGACTGAGAAAGCCACGTGACCCCTAAATACAAAGGGCTTTATTGCAAAGAATTGGCTCTACAACCATGGAGGCAGGTGAGGCAAGTCTGAAATCTGGAGGGCAGGCCAGCCATCTGGAGGGCGTGCTCCAGGTACACAGATGGATTTCTTTTTCCTCAGGGATACCCCAGTTTTGCTCTTTTGCTTCCTTGTAAATTTTATGTAATCAAAACTTACACTTTTAGTGACTTAATTTTCTTTTTAAAATTTTTTCTAGCTTTATTGAAGTATAAATGGCAAATAAAACTGTAATATATTTAAAGTGTACGACGTGATGATTTGATACATATACATGGTGAAAGGACTCCCACAATCAAGTTCATTAACAGATGCACCACCTCAGTTACTTTAAAAAAATTTGTTTTATTGAAGAATAATTGACATACAACATTGTATTCATGTCAAGTGTACAATATAGTGATTCAATATTTATATACATTATAAAGTGGTCGGGGCACCTGGGTGGCTCAGTCAGTTAAGCATCTGACTGGGTTTCAGCTCAAGTCATGATTTCAGGGTCATGGGATCCAGCCTCGAGTCAGGCTCTGTGTTCAGCAGAGTCTGCTTATTCCTCTGTTCCTCCCGCTGCAGAGTGTGCTTATCCCTCTGCCCCCCCCAACCCGTTCCTCACCCCCCAACCCCGCTCGTGCTCATTCACTCTCTCTCTACAGTAAATAAAGAAAAAAAATGTTAAAAAATTGTTACAATATTATTTACTATTCCCTACACTGTATATTACATCTCCCAATCTTATTTTATCAATAGTTACCCTTAAAAATTTTTTGTGAGACTACTTAAGATCTACTCACATAGCAAATTACAATCATACAATATAGTATTTTCAACTACGGTCACTAGGAGACACAGCGGAAAGTTTGTACCCTTTTACTAACATCTCTCCATTTCCCATACTTCCCAGGTCTTGGCAACCACATTCTACTGTTTCTATGGTGTTCAACTTTTTTTTTTTTTTTTTTTTTAAGTAATCTCTACTCTGAAGGTTGGGCTTTAACTCATGACCCTGAGATCAAGAGTAGCATGCTCTACTGATGGAGCCAGTCAAGAACCCTGATGTTCAATTTTTTGATTTTAGATTCCACACGTAAGTATCAGTTTTGCTTTTAGGCATTTCAACTGACTGCATGCAGCCTACCTGGCTTACCCAGGATCATTACTTAAAGTCAAATGATTGTAGATGGTAATTGTGTCTACAAAGCATCTTCACAGCAACACCTAGACTAGTTTTGATTGAACGCTTTACTACAGCCTAGCCAAACTAACATATAAATGACCTGTTGCATCTGAGAAAACCTAGGAGGGCTGGAGAGGGGAGTCAGAACAACAGCAGGCAGTGAAGGAGTTTGCTAACCAAAGTCAGATAAAATGATTACTGAGGAATCCTGGGAACTTAGCTATTAGTTACTAGAGATCACAGCAAGTTGATAGAGTACTGCCCAGGGACTTGGGAAAGCTAGGTCCTACCTCTGCACAACTACATGGCCTTAGTCAAACCTCTTAACCTCTCTGGGTTCCAAATACCCATTTATAAGGGGCACCTGGGTGGCTCAGTGGTTGAGCGCCTCCTTTCGGCCCAGGGCGTGATCCTGGGGTCCTGGGATTGAGTCCCACATCAGGCTCCCTGCAGGGAGCCTGCTTCTCCCTTTGCCTGTGTCTCTGCCTCTCTCTCTTTCTCTCTCTCTCTCTGTGTCTCTCATGAATAAATAAATCTTAAAAAAAAAAAAAAGAGCTTCTCTGGGTTATAGGCTCTCTAAGATGTATCGAGTGCATACATCCTAGAAATCTAACTTCTAAGAATTCATTACATGAAAAAACTGACCTCATTGTGCAATGACTGAATGCTATATAGTGATAA